AGCTGGTAACAAACAGTAAATGATTAGTTGTGGCTAATGAAAAACAAGATACGGTAAAAATCTATCCAAACATGCCTCCAAAACAAATAAACTATGGCTTAGAAAATGTACGGCTTCTTAGTGTACTATATGAAATTGTGGAGATCTTAACAATTAACACGAGTTCAAAAAACCATATCAATTGATGATAGTTTCAAGTGGATTCCTACACTATGTGCAAAGCTTGTTAGAAGGAATCCATGTTATCATATTACCTTCGAGTACAGTAGCATTGATAACAAATTTGAGAGATTTTATGTTAGTTTTAAGGTGTGAATTAATGGGTTCTTAGCTTGATGCAGGCATCTTGTGGGACTTGATGTCTACCACTTAAAATCTAAATACTTGGGGGTCTTGCTTTCGACAAATGCGTTGGATGGGAATAATGGATTTTATACAATCGCATATGCAGTAGTCGAGTTTGAGTCAATGAAATATTGGGAATGATTTTTGAGGAATTTAATTATATCTCGCAAGTTTGAAGTTTCGCCTTAGGTTTTATCTCAAACATGGAGAAGAGTTTAATTGAGACCTTAAGGTGTGTATTTCCAGACGCAGAACATAGAGTTTGCATACGACATTTATGGAAAAACGTTAAGAAATATCATAATTTTCAAAGTAGCAAGCCGATCCAACATAATATTTGGTTGGCGTCAAATGCTTACACTAGAGCAAAATTTGAAGAAACTCAATGAAATTTACGAAATTAGCCTACAGCCTCATGCATATCCGATCAATCTCCCAAATAAATGGGCAAAATGTCAATTCTCGCCTCATATTAAAAGTCAAACCAATACTAACAATATTTCTAAATCCTTCAAATCATTGATTGGAGAAGCTAGGGAAAAACCTATTGTAGATTTGGTAGACATGATTAGAGGCATGATAATGGAGAAAATAGCTTAAAGGAAACTTAAATCAAGCGAGTTGATAGGTGAATTAGTACCTGCAGCGGACGCGTATTCAAGGGGTTAACAACAAGAAAAATAATGCTCATTATAAGGCCTTCAAAGGTGTATATGACCGAAGTCGAGGAACATGAAGAAAGATTTTAAGTTGTGGTCTACCATGTATTCATGCTGCCAACTTCATCGGCAGCAAAGATGTGACATCGTGGCATAGCTTTGTTGATGAGCATTTTCATACGATTAGTTTTTTTTTCTCTTTAACTTTTCAAATTCAATTCATATGTTATGTATTGAATGATTTTTTACTTTATCAATATAACTATAGTTACAGGATGGCCTATGACGGTGCTATTTTGCACCCTCCCAAGGAAGAGTGAGTGGATCACACCTAACGATTATTTCAACATTTACACACTAAATACATCAAAACTGAGAGAAAGACATTCGAAGTAGGGAATAAAAAGTTTTATGAAGACTCATAACAAAAAAGAGTAAAATGACTAAGTGTGGTCGTTGTGGTTCTTAGAGGCACCACAGAACCACTTGCAAGGAGTTAATTAGCCAATCAAGTTAGAGTTTTCTCGAAGTTGATGCCACCTTGCATGTCTTAGAATTTACATATGCTGATCGGGCCTCCAGGACGAAACTCCTAATACGCTGAGAGAGATTGGATTACACTGATTGGGAGTTCATTGATGAGGAGCAAATCAATGAAGAGCAACCATAGATTCTTTTTTTTTTGTTGATAAAACTATTTTGTGGTAACTTTTATTACCTTTTGATTGCCACTAAACATGTATCAAAATTATTATACTATGCTTGATTTATTATTATCATCCATGACCATGAAATTTTAAAGTTTGTTAAGACCTTCAAGCAATCAGACTTAATCTATTTCTAAAAGTTACTTGCAGAAGGCATCTCATCTCGTGAAGCCATATTGTTCCAAAAGGAAGAGTTACTTGCATTGCTAGTTCTTTTCTTCTTTTGTAAAGCTGTTGGAAGGTTGTTTATACTTCGTAATTCTATTCATGCATTAGGTCTAGTGCCTGTAATGTAAAAACTGAAGTTTTGGTGTTAGATATGTAAATTAATGATGTAGATTAATGATTTTGAGATGATTATGGACTTTTTGATGCTAAGGATGTGCTTGTAATTGTACTTTTATTGTCGCAGTAATAATATTTTATTTTGTCATAATCGTCATGCGTCATGCTCAGGAGACATAGGATGTCATTAACTGTCCGTGAGTTTCTTTATTAAATATTTTAGTGCTATGCATGTAATTTTGAAAGTTTAGGCATTTGAAATGTAAATACTTAAAATTTGTGTGGTATGTACGTAAATGCCTACCAAAAAAGAAAAGATTTTCCTGTCAATGTAATACTGGCCAACACATTATCCTTGAAGCATTCCATTTAACATTATGTGGCTTACTTTATAGAAGTACCTAAAGTGAAAGCCATCAGATAAAGATGTGATAGGGTTGATGCATATAAAAGTTTTTTCTTCATTCTGTCACAAACTATTTATTTAGTAAAATTTTACTTTAATCATATTGGAATGTGTACAGAGGCCAACAAAAATATCTGGCAAGTTGAGTTCACATTAGAGTATAGAGACAAGCATATAAGTAACAAAATGACTATCACTCAATTCTTATGTACTTACATATCCAACAGTCATGATAATTCATTCAAAATTTATAAAAAAAATTAAAATAGTTGCCTGTTTGTTTCTTCAAGGCCAAAAATTTTGAGATGGATAACATTGAATAGAAAGCTTTGAACTGGTAACATTTCACGAACAATTGTTGCAACATTTCAAGTTCTATTCGCCTTGAAAAAGTAGAGCTCATTTTCTGTCCAAAAATCACATCTCTTCCTTTGTATGATTACGTTATCCTCAGCATGTTTACATTTTTTCTGTGGTTTAAGACATCCAAGCAACTTCTCATCTTCCGCTCCTCTTCCTGACACTGCAGCATATCCGTGATAGCGTATGGTGACTACAAGAAACTTTAATGTCATTGACATTGCTACCGGCATCGCCTTGCGACAACCATGTAATGACTCTTTGGTAAAGAGAGGAGGAAGGAAGAAGAAGGTGGGCGAGGGTTGCCGGCTGGAGAGGAAAGACACGGGGAAAAGTAGCTTGGGTCTCTCGAAGGCTGGGGAATGATGTCAATGCCGAAGCCTACGGAGGGAGGAGTGGGAGCGGCCTGTGATGGAGTGGCTGAAAGAAAGGGAGGAAGGGCTTAGGGTGATTGGAATGAAATATTAGAAGTTCAGGTGATTAGGTTGTTATTTTTTAAGTTTTAGGTGGTGGCTAAGTAAAAACCCCTCATAACATTTAATGTCATAAAACATATGCATAAAAAATGTGAATTAGTTTTATTCTTGGAGATCGTTGAATAATTGAATAGACTGTTGTGCGAGTTCTCCCTTGCGTGCTCTTTGTTAAGAGTGCCTCTCTGAAGAGTTTGTCCCTGGTGTTCCTCGTTTACTTTTTGACTGCATAATCCATGCTCATCACATCTTTTAGAAAGTTGAATTTAGATTTGTCATGTTGGCTATGCCCAAGGCATAGCGTAGGGACCGAGAGTGAGAAAAGTCAGAATAAGCGACACAACGATTGCTACAGGCGGGGGCAAAGTGAGGGTGTTTCCTGGGCTCTAGGACCCATTTTATTTATTTTGGAAAGCCTAACTGGCTTCCTTCTCCTTTACATGAAAAATATCCTCCTATTTATAGATCATTGAGGGATCTTAAAAATTACATTATTTTCCCTGAGAGTTACCAATCATTATGCTTCCGAGAATTACAAGTCATTATTCTCCTAGAAGTTACTAGTCATTATGCTTATGGGAGTTATCAGTTTTATTGTCAGTTTCATCCGATGATTTGATCATTCCTTAGTCGGGGAGGCTGGCCGAATGAGATGACCAGCTGATCACTGATCTGTACTACCTTCAGTATTTTTTAGACACAAGCTAACATCTGTATTTTTTAAGTATATAAGAATTATAAGGGAAATTTATATAAGCAACATTTAATTCTTATATATTTATGTATCTTATATCTGGATTTTCATATATATATATATATATATATATATATAATATTTTGGGTATTTCAGTTAAAAAAACTGATAATAATATTATTTTTGATGTGATATTAAAGATTTTACTATACCTATAAATATAAAAATTTTGGTGTGAGATATTTAAAATACATCATAATCGTGTGTAATATATATAAATGCCCCTTCTAAAAAATAGAAAATTTATGCCTAAATCTATTAAGTTTAGACTTAGAATATATTAGGATTAAGTTAGTAGAATTTAGTAAATTTTATAAATATGAATTTAATAAAATTTGGAAGGGTTAAATCTAAAAAAAAAAGATTTGAAAACAAACTTAAAATACTCCGTAAAATTCTCTAATTTATGCAGAGATTTAAAATTCTATAATTTATGTGAGTATTTAAAAAGTTTGTTGTTTTACGGTCGAAATTAGCCAAATAATTCCGCGGACCATATGACGAAAAAATATTACATCAGTACTAGCACGTAAAAGTAACGTGCGTAGCCAATGGAATCACGCCACGACACCCCGCGCGACAGAGAAAAAAACGACGCAGTAACACAGGGAATATTCCCTCCCGCGTTATTGATGTGTTATTCATGTGTTATTGCGTGTTATTGATGTGTTATTGATGTGTTATTGTGTTATTATAACACCAAGAATATTCTCAGGATAGAAAAAAACGACGCAGTAACACGGGAGAATATTCTCCCCGTGTTATTCATGTGTTATTTTGTGTTATTTATGTGTTATTCATGTGTTATTGATATGTTATTGTATTATTATAACACTAGGAATATTCCCAGGACACAATAATACATGAATAACACACAATAACACATCAATAACGCGGGAGGAAATATTCCCCGTGTTACTGCGCTGTTTTTTTTTCTCTATCACGCGGGTGTCATGGTGTGATTTCACTGGCTACACACTTTCTAAATGCATAGTAATATTTTTCCCATCTGGCAGGATTGTTAGGTCAAATCTGGTTAAATCCTGCTCTAAATCCGTTATCAGACGGCCCCGAAGGGAATCCGATCTTCATTTCCCGCAATATCTATCGCGTGAAGCGCGAAGTAAGGGGGCAGCGTGTTCTCGGATGGTGGAGTGGAAAAATAGCTTTCGCATGCTATCTCACTTCCCGGTTCTCTGAAGAACAGCCGGCGAACGAAGCTGGGAAGACCTTTTTTGGAGGATTTCATCCCTCTTTGAGAAGATTCTTCTCATTTTTCAACATGACGGAGGTAATCTCTATCTTTATTCATACCTTTCCATGTTAATCCTCTATCAATTTGCTTCTTATGTAGAATTTGGACTTATTCTTAAGCTTGCATCGATTACAGGTCCCCTTTTTGCGTTGATTTAGAGACTAATAAATTGATACAACTGGGTTTTATGCACAAACCCTAGCACAATTTTAAAATTTCACTAGCATCCGTTTGGGATCACTTTTATTTTCTTTTATTTCTAATTTTTGTTTATTTTTTATTTTATGTATGTTTTGATTATAAACAAAACATGTTTGACATGTAGAAATAAATAAGATTATTTTTGAAAACAGTCAGAATTGCTAAAGGCTATTTTGAGCCTTTTTAAAAATATGTTAAATTTTGTTTGAAAATAAAAACATGTTAAAAAACTGACCAAATAAAACATGTTTTTAAAAGAAAAAATTAAAATGAAATTGAATAGCAAGATTGATTCCAAACAAATGTTTGTCATTATTAAGTACAAGATATTTTGTGCGTGGCAGTGCATTACAAATTCTATTGATTATGTTCCGTTGTATTATTGAGAATTTAGGCTTATGGATCTTCTTATGTCTTTGATGTTTGATTTAGTTGTTAGACTTGTAACAATAGAAATTATTGCTAAAAACATCATTTTCATTTTATTGATGACAAGCTTAAGTAGAGTCTTACAAGCTACAACATTTACAAATAAATCTCTACATTAGATATAAATCACAACACTCTACCTCAGGATTGAAAAAAAATATTCACTAAGCTCATTTTGTCACATAACCTAGACTAATCTAATGTGCTAAGCTCTTTCGTGAGGCAGGTGGCCACTTGCTCTCCAATGGCTACATGACTTAGCTCCAGTGGCCAGTTATTCAACTTTTATTTGACGAAGAATCTATCAATCTCCCCATGTTTTGTTCTATCATGTTGCACCGGGTTGCTGGCGATGTTGTTCGCTGACTTTTTGCCACACCATAACTTAATTTGAGCTTCTTGGTGCACCTTGAGCTCTACCAACAAGATTTTTAGGCACATTATCTCGACAACTTCTAAGACCATGGCCCTTTACTCTGCCTCTGTTGTTGATCTTGCTACTACCGACTGTTTCTTGCTCTTCCAAGAGACAATGTTGCCCCCTATGAACATGCAATATCCAGATGTGGACCCATTATCATTAGCACAACTCACACAGTCAGAGTCGCAATAGCCCTCAGTGCCTATATGTCTATTTTTTCGCAATAGCCCTCCATCTCAAGGAAGTATTTGAGCTATCCAAGATCCTTCACCTCAAACTCTTTGCTCAATCTTATTTTTAGTTGAACAATCTCTGTCTAATTATCACTAGTGATAATCATATCATCAACATACACAACAAACATAGTGATGTGACTATCATTTTGATGAAAGAATACCGTATGATCAACATTGATCTGTTTATATCTTATGCGCCAACAATAACTTTTCTAAACTTATCAAATCAGACTTGAGGAGATTATTTTAAGCCATAAAATGATTTTTAGAGTCTGTACACCTTGCCCACTATCGGATCTTTATCGAATCCTGTTGACATGTCCATATAAACTTCTTCCAGTAACTCATCACGAAGAAAAACATTTTCATATCAAGTTGGTGTAGCCTCCACCCACCATTCACAACCAGAGAAACCAATGTCTTCACTGTAATCATCGTCGCCGCCCAATGCATAGGTCTTGTCATAGTCAATGCTTACGTCTAATTGTATCATTTCATCACCAATCGTGCATTGTAACACTCCACTCTCCCTTTTGAATTGTGTTTTGCTGTGAAGATCCACTTGCACTCAACTACTCTTTCCTCGCTGTCAACGGTACTATCTCCCACTTCTTGTTCTTATCGAGAGCACCAAGTTCCTCCAACATGGCAATCTTCCATTTTAGATCCTTCTTAGCTACCTGCCAACACTTGGGCATGTAAATAATGTACAAATATGCAATGAATGTTCCATGTATAAGCGATATGTTATAGTATGAGTCAAACTGAGCAATGTCATGAGAGAAACCAAAACAATCAGGAAAATAATGAACATGAGAACAACCCACATTACTGCAAGAGGTCCTCCTTAATGCCATGGGAGTGAGAGAAGAAGGGACAAGAATCATATTACCCTGGTGATCAGATTCTGAAGTAGATGATGTACGCATCTCAAGAGTCGGGGTAGAACGAGACAAGAAAATTGATAGTATGAGTGACACGGTAAGCACCGTTCCCTCATTATATCTCTTCCTTGTATATATTCTCAGCTCCCCTTGAGCTTGAATCCCTCCACTTTCGGGCTCATTTTTCTCATTTTTTGGTTTTTTCTTAGCCGATCCTTCTCACACAACAGGATAAGGCATCGTCCCACATGTACCAATCTCTGACCATCGCTACTCTCCCCCTCACGCCTCATACCTCCAGTATCTGGCTAGTCACCAAATGGTGAGTTCACCTCCAGTGTGTAGGACAGTTTGGGTTATCTAAATGACACATTCATGCTCACGAACAATCTCTTCTCTATCAGGCTCCAACAAACATACCCTTTATGGGTAGCAAAATAACCCACGAAAGCACTCTTCACAGCTCTTGTATTCAACTTCTCTACTGATGGTCTGTTGTCGTTCACAAAAACATATACAACGAAAAACTTCAATGAGAGGATCCCACCATGTTCGCATTTCAACAACTCACAAGGAGATTGCCACTCCAACACTCTTGAAGACATTCTGTTGATCAATTGAGCGGCTGTTAAAACTACTTTCCCTCACAGATGTTTTGGGACATTCATAGAGATTATCATGCTTCGGGCTACTTTTAGGTGTCAGTTCTTCCTCTCCGCTTCCCTGTTTTGTGCCGGTGTGTATAGATAAGTTGTTTGATATTGTATTCTTTGAGCTGACATGTACTCCCCAAACTCTTTGTTAGCATATTTTGTCTTATTATCAGACCTTAATATCATTAGTACCGCACCATATTGATTCTGAATCTCCTTGTGAAAGTCTTTAAAGCAGACAATCACATCACTTTTATTTCTCATCATATATAACCCAATAACACGAGAAAACAATCAATGAAAGTCGTAAAATATCTATAGTCATTCATCAAAGTTGTAGAACAAGGTTTTCATACATCGGAATGCATCAAATAAAAAGACAAGAAATCCTATTACCAGAATTGATATAAGAGTTCCTAGTATGCTTACCCTATTGACATGAATCACACACAAGTTTTTGTTTATTTGCCTCCTCATATAAAGACGAATACAAACAACTCAAAAGACTAAACGAATGGTGTCTCATGCGCCCATGTTTTAGCAATAACACATTCTCCACACTCCTCCCTGATTCTTATACTCCACTCTCTACTATGGATGCCAGTGTTGAGCCCATCCCCTCTCTATTCAAGTACTAAAGTCTACTATGTCAAGTTTCAGCTCCAAATCTCCAGCCAATTCTCTTCTCTTGAAAGATCTTCTTAGGAATATCAAAGGAAACTATAAATTTTAGTTATAGAATAATGACAATGGATAAAAGGTTCACTGGAAAGAAATGAATACGCAAAATATTAGACAAAGTCATAAATTAGTACATCCCAGCGTATCATATTACTAATCACGTGTTGTGTTGTACCAACAACCGTCTGAATGTTCTCTGAAATTGTTAGATGAGTATAAGAAACAAATTTACTAACATTACCTGTTACATGTCTAGTTGTATCATGATCTACTATCCATTCTGGTGATCTTATGATCAATATAGATGTAAGAGAAGTTGTATGACTAGCACATTCGATTGAGCGAGTATAAGTAGCATTGTTCCCTTTTGATGAGAATAAAGTGGATGCATTCTCAGTCACATCACTTACTGCTTTTTGATTCCTCTTCAATATCTCCAGGAGCTCATGATCCTTATCGGCAAAGACCACCGGTCTCTATTTCATTCTCTGCTACGAGCATATTTGCATGGTAGCCCTTTTTTCCACCCCTTTGGCCCCCACAATTACGACCATGACCTCTAGACTGTCCACACCCACTCTCTCTCCTTGGGATCCACTCTCTCTCTTTGGGTAGCTTTGGACAAGTCTTGCTCAGGTGTCTCACTTCTTCACAGTTTAGCATCTATGGGTCTCCCCCTGAGCATCTGTCATATATGCACTCGAGGCAGCTGATACACCTAAAATATGTAGTATTTTTAGACACATTTTTATACATATTTTTGAGATATTGCGCTTTAATAGAAGATATTTGTGTGTTTTTCTTTTAGGTACAAGTAAAAAGATGAAAGGTACAAGTATGAGTGAAAACTGATCAAATTTGGAGCAAAAATGTGAAAATTGTGCTAAAGTGTTCTGATCAAATTTGGAGCAAAAAATTTGGAGCAAAAATAAAGGTGTGAAAATGAACTGTGGTGCCTAAGAGCCCATTACGACGCTTAAACGCCGGTGAAATAGAGAAGGTCGCGCCTAAGCACCGAAGGTCCCAAGCTTAAGTGTCAAAGGTGGTTATTTTACAGTTTAATTCATTTTGCTAAATTTTGAAGAGACATTTGAGACACCTATTGGCTAAAGAGGGTGGTTATGATCACTAGAAATGAAAATATGATTAAAAAACCTGTGAAAGGAGACATCTTTTGGAGAATACATCAAATTGAGACATATTTTAAAGAGTTATCAAGACACCTCTTGGAGATTTATAAAAGAAGAAAGTTGACTTTCTGAAGTGTGCTTGAAAGTTCGGAAAAGTGTTGGAAGGGGGTAGATTTGAAGAGGCTTTCAAGCACCACAAATTTACTTTATACTTCTTGTTTTTAGTTTTATTGTGAGAGTCAAGAGTGTTGTAAAAAAGAAAAGATTCAAAGGAATTTCAAGAGTTTGATGAAGAATTTGAGATAAATTTTTATATTTTATTTTGAACTATTTTTGATTTTAATCGAGACTTCTTGTTAGTTTGACAATGATTTCTACTTTTAAACTAAAGTGTGGTTTTG